CACTTGCATAGCTAGGGGCATCCTAGCTATCCTGTAATACTTCTTCTTAGCATCCATCTTCTTGCTAATCGATTTTGTCAGCGTTTCAAATGCTTTTAAACCCCAATGATATTTAGAATAGCGCCCACTCTCTACCAAGTCAAAATTTAGCCTTGGTATGGTTGTGTTGTTCTTCTCGGATGAAAAAATGAAGGTGTGTATGAAATACAACAAAGCTATCTTCAATGCATCACCATCATTGTCGGGACCCCAGTTCTTGTCAGCAAAGCATTTCATCAAATGTTTCTTCTTGACAAGATTGACACCTCCAAAGTAAGTCTCAATAAGCCGGTTAGGAACCTTTTCACTAAGCTCAAAATCATCATCATTACCAACACATTTGAGGCCAGTCACAAACGCAAACTCCCTTAATGTGAAATGTAATGAAGTACCATTGGCGTGTATTGCAAATACATTGTTAGGAGTTCCTTCTAAGTGGAGAGCCATGAAGCATATGAAGAGTTGATGTTGGACTTCACAACGCTTAATTTGAAGGAAATTTCCAAAGCAAGTATTACCTAGTTGTTTGTATGCTCTGGAGTAAGGTTCTCTTTTAGCTCGGAGACTATGTTAGTGTTAGTATATACACTGATATGTGGTGCAAATATTGACTGTTTTTTTCACAAAAAGCTTAATTCCCTGCATTTAACAAGAATAAATACATATAAATACAACTGAATACAACACATATTTCATAGTAAATCTGACACAAATACATATAAATACAACTAAAAATACTTAGAAGTATAAATATAACTGAATACAACGCATATTTCATAGTAAATCTGACATGAATACAACTAAATACACTGACAAGGCTAAATACATATAAAAATAACTGCATACAACACACATGACATAAATATAATCAACATGACTCCATATGAATACAACTAAATACAGACTGGAAAATTAACCATTTTAAAACAACAAATAAATACATTGAAATTAGAATAAAAAACAGTGATGGAAACCTTGAAAATCCATAAAAATACAACTATAAAAATACATCTGAATACATATGCATATATGTATCATTATTTTCTAAAAGTACAAAAATATGTTGAATAGCTTTTTGAACAGAAACATTGAACAATGTTATACGTATAAATACAACTGAATACATGAATAATACAGATGAATACATCAGAAAATTACCTTTTCTTTGACTTTATCTGAGCCTTACTTGATTCAACCTCCTTCCCCTTGACAGATGAAGCTTCAGAGATATGGATTTTCCTCTTTTCCGGAGTGGCAAATCTTGTTTCCTTTATTGATTTCTCGACTTGGGTTTCTTTGAAATTTAGCTTTTGTTATCTTCTCCAATGCCATATTTTTGGCTAAACCTGCATCCAATTCCCCTTGAGTGATTTGCAAGGAGAAAGAGGGCCCATCGAAATTGAGAATTTTAGTGGGTATACCTCTAGTAATCAACTTGCGGGGTGTATTCTCAGACATTGTGAGAATACGACTTGGGTACTGTTGATTAGATACAATTTGGTGAGCAGAGACGTTGAGAATAAGCAAAAATGGCGAAAATAAAAAAATACTTACCACACTAATTATAGAAACAAATCAGTACAATGTAGATGAAATTAGGATTTACCCGAGATTGGGGAAGAAGGAAGCAGCGTTGTGTGTGAGGAGGATTTTGACTTTTAGCGCGATTACAGAGAATTTGGAATGAAAAATAAATTGTATCAGTTTAGAGAGAGAGAGAGGATGAACTTGTATTGAAAAGTTGTATGAAAACGATATCTATGAGAGAGAAAATCTGAGAATGGAGAAAGGAAAATAAAACATAGCGTGTATAATGGCTTAAGTGTAGGAGATACCAAAATTATAAACTTTGCTATAAACCATATAACATATCTATAGGAGGTAATTTATTTAAATGGTATTTATTTTAAATAATAGGGGGTTAACCTATTCTATAAAAAGTAAAAATTCCAATAATAAATAGCGCCTGCTGAACATTTTTTTTTGCCCTATCTTTGGAAAATAACCACCATCCCGGAGTTTCAAAATCCACAAATGGAACTTCAGGATAGCGGCTATATTTCAATTACAGAGGCTTAAAAGTGGCTATAAAATATTAAATTAATAAAAAAATTCAGTTGCAAATATTTGGAATTCAATACAGGGATCTTCACGGAAAAAGTAGATTGTATTAGATAATTTTTATTTTATGTATATTTACTATACGTTGAATCTCTTTGACTTTATAATATTTTTAATTTTTTATATTTTAATTACCTTTTAGTGAAAATCTTGGTTCCGCCATTAATTACGAATAGGAGTGGCAAACAGGTGGGTCGGGTCGGATATGATTCGGATCGAAAACGGATAATGAAAAACCGAATCAATTATCTGACCCGACCCATATTTAATACGGATAAAGAATGGGTTAACCGACGGATAATACGGGTTACCCATATTATCCATGACTTCTTGCATATGATTACTTTTGGGAGAATTCTTAGTCTCCCTAACTTGAAGAACCCCCAATTTGAGGCTTCACAAATGTAAAAGTTAGACCCATTGGTTATCCATTTTCTAAATGGATAATATGGTTCTTAATCATATTTGACCCATTTTAAAAGAGAAATTTTCATAAAGCACTGTCTTTTAGTAGTAATTAGCCATCTATAGATACCATTTGCTATATTACGGTTTATAGATACCTTTTCTGTGGTTATAAGATGTATTTGATGTATTTAAGCTAATGTATTCATGAATACAGTAGCAAAAATAGGCGTGAATCAGGGAAGTCCAGCTAATCTTCAGATGTATTCAACTGTATTTATGAGGTGTATTCCAAAATACAGTAACGTATTTTGCATAAATAATGGACCTTTCAACTGGTTTAAAACAGAAAGGAAATCAATTTACCTGATATTCTCCTAATATAACTCAACTAACACAAACTATTGCCCATGAAACTGTATTCTTCCCTTCACAAAATTTTTTCAATCGGAAAAAATAACCTAAAGCAGAGCAACATCTGGATTTTAAGTTCTCCCTTTTTTCTTTAGTTCCAGTGCATACCCAGTTCACTTTTCAACAACGAAAAATTGCGATTGATACAATTGTATCCATATGGAAAGTTTAACAGTGTTGTTGCAACATTCTGGCAAGTGGAACAGTGAGAGCAATTACATTGATTCTTCAATTGAGGGAATACTAATAAAAGAATATGCGTCGTATAATGATTTGGTTGCGTCAATATCTAATCAACTGGGCATAGATTTGAGCTCAAAGTCCATTAAAATTCAATACAAAGTAGAAGGAAATTGCACGCCAATGGAAATACACAATGATATGGTTATAGGGTGTATGTAGAGTTGAAAAAAGAGAACAGAGAATTCGAGATGTATCCTTTGTGCATAACAATGATTGAAAAAGAACTTGTATCCAGAGGTAGTTTAATTCAAGGTGACATTGTGCAAATAGACGAAGTAGTTCAAAGGTATGATTCCGATACAGATGATACACTTGCTCTAGATTTTGTCAATTCAGGACAAACAATTGGGGTGTTCGAACTAGATAAGGATTTGATAATTTCAAAAACTAATCAAAGGGAGGTTATGGCTGGACAAGAATATAAGGATAAGGCTACATTGAAAGAGGTGATGGAGCATTATGCTATATCTCAAAGGTTTCAACTCCGGGTTGATAGGTCTAATTTTGTCAAGTTTGAGTGTATTTTATTATTCTTTATTTTTGTTGTATATTGTATCATGGTTGGAGTTGTAAGTTATATGTTGATGTGTTTATGCATATTGTAAGACAATTGATCTGCATTGATGTTGTTAACTATTTTTTTATGGTCTTCAAATACATGTATTCTTGTGTATTTTACTTGTATATATTTATTACAATGCTCTCATTGATTTCCTCTTTGCTTTACTAGTTGTATATAAATGTATGCATATGACTATAGATGTATTCAGTTGTATTATTTGCACAAATAACTATAGGCGTATTTGTATTCATGTGTATATGAGTGAGTTTTTTGTAAGCATTTATGCTAATCATTTGTATAATGATATATTCTTTTCAGCTATGCATTATTATGTATGTCAGAAGATTGTGAATGGAGGTTTAAGGCTTTGAACATTAACAAATCAAAACTATTCAAAGTGAGAGAGTTTATTGATAAGCATACATGTCCGTTGAAGGACAAGGTGTATGAGTAGCGCCAGACAAATAGCAGCCTTATAGGTGGTATGATTAGGCCCAAGCATACTAATCACAAGAGGAAATGTACCCCAAAAGATATTATTAATGATGTGAAATCAGATTTAGGTGTAGATGTTAGCTACATGTTGGCGTGGCGGGCTAAAGAAAAGGCAATGAATTTTTTGAGAGGTGAACTGGCTGATTCATACACAAAATTACCAGGATACTTATATACAATGAATATGACATATCCAGGTTCGCACATTAGAATGGTAAAATTACCCAAAAATAAATTCATGTATGTGTATATATCTTTGTATGCCTTTATAAAAGGGTTTGATCATTGTAGACCCATTGTGGTTGTAGATGGAAGTCACCTAAAATCTTACTACACCGGGACATTCGTCTCGGCCAGCACGTTGGATGGCACAAGTGAATACGTGAATTATAATAAATTTTGTAAATATTGTAAAGATTGAAATACATATTTTAAAAATATGTATGCAATTGTCTTTACAGGTCATATATTGCCACTAGCATATGGTGTTATTGATTCAGAGAACGGTGCTGCTTAGACGTGGTTCTTTGAGAAATTCAAGATAGCATACGGTGACAGAGAAAACATGTGCATCGTTTAAGATAGAAATGAGAGTATCATTAAATCTGTATTGAGAGTGTATCCAGACGTACCACATTTTGCATGCCTATGGCATCTATGGAACAACGTATATAAGAAATTCAAAAGGAGCCATGCAAAGTTGGGCGTGATATACTTCTCGATGGCAAAAACATACACACAAGCTGAATTTGATAGTTTGATGGAGAAGGTAGATATTAGGGTGAAAGAATACTTGGAGTTAACTAGATACGAAAAGTGGGCTAGGTTGTATGCACCTGTTAACAGGGGATGGACCATGACGTCAAATATTGCTGAGTCAATCAATGCCGCACTAGTGTTAGCAAGAGAATTGCCAATATACGACTTTCTCGAAGAAGTTAGGAAGATGTTTGGATGTTGGAATTGCAGTAACCGCAAAGAAGCTACACATACATACACAATGCTTGGAAAAAAATATCAGGAGATGCTGACTTTGAATGAGGCAATGTCTACACGCATGACTGTAAGTTTTATTTTAATATCATTGTATCATATATTTAACTCTTTCTTTAAATAGCTTTATTTTTTCTGAAATAATTTATACCTTTTTTTAGATAAATGTATTCAGTTGTATTATCATGCAGTAGCCTTATAATATTTTTGTTTCGTTTCAACTGCCTAAAGTTAAGCAGATATTAAATGTATAACAGTGTATTCATAAGCTAAGACGTAATTATAGTTTATAGTCTGCCGGTCTACATATATGATGTATTCTTCTGTATTCAAACATTTCAGTTGTATTTAACTGAATAATTCTGCATTATACATAAAGAAATTCATTTATTTAACTGAATAGTTCTGCATTATTTAACTGAATAATTCTGCATTATACATACAGAAATATGTTTGTATTCAATACATATTTGATTTAATTCATACTGCTGTATATTTAATACATCTATTCTATGGTATATAAATGAAATTTTTTGTTTATATGTGCTCAAAACTTATAGGTCTATGTTTAAATGTAGGTGGTACCATCGACTGAATACTTACATACGGTTACTGATAAAGGGAGGAATTACATCGTCTGCCTGTTAGAGAGAGAATGCGTTTGCAGAAGGTTCCAAGTTGATGAATTACCATGCCCACATGCTTGCGCTGTATTGAAGAGTAAGTTTCTAATGCCAGAAGATTATTGCTCTAACTATTACAAACCAAATTCTGTTGTAATGACATACGATGTGCCTATGTACCCGCTACCGGACAGAAATGAATGGAATATACCAGCACATGTTACAGAGGAAGTTGTATTGCCACCCAAATGGAAAAGACCTCCTGGAAGGCCAAAGAAGAAGCGCGATAAACCTTTCAGTGAATTGTTGCAGCCGAAAAATCAACATTCATGTAGCATATGTGGGTAGGGAGGACATAATAAGCGAACGGGTAGAAATGCTCCACATAGGATTTAGTTAACACTCTGACATGTATTAGTGCTCCAACGATTTGTCATAGATTCTGATGAAATTGTGAAGTTATACATTTTGAACCTTTTCGTGAATAGATTTTGGATATAGTTAGTTGTAGTATTGTGTTGAATGCATTCGAATACAACCTTGTCAATAGATACTTAGACAATCTATCATAGACAGTACCTGACTTGTATATACATAACCAACCACAATACATCTGAATACAACTATATACTCGGCTATAATATAATAATTTCAATAAAAACATATACAATCTGCTGAATATATAATTATAGACTTTGTATTATTCAGTCTCTGAATTGGATATACAATGCACTCGACTGGAGCTGATTACATACTAATATACAATGTTGAATACATACAAAAATATAAATTATCTTATACACTGTGTCTGCCTTGACTATACAAATCAAACCAAATAAATACAATTACTTATAGATTTGTATAAGTATGAATATAACCTGCTTAAGTAAAATAAATACATCAAGGTGAGTACATACGTATAAACCTGTAACATACAATTTCTGACTTTGATATACAAGCCAAGTGACTGAATCTTAATACATACTTATACGCCCTATTGAATACATATGAATATATCCTGTAAGATACATATAAATAGAAACTGTAGATTAAATATGAATACTTATGAACAAAACAATGAAACATAGATTGAAAAGTTGCAATGGCCATACATGAACACTGTTGATAAAGTGATTAAAACAAGAATTTTTCTAACTGAATACCACCTTCATCAAAAAACTATTGAAAAAACAGTATTCACCTAAAACAACCTTCCAAAACTACATTCACCTAAAGCTACTCTAACACTATCTACAACTTTGAATCTGACTCCGTGATTTGCCTAGCAATATTTGAGGGTGCTTCATTCTCGCTTATGGCATCAACATCTATCTTCCGCATAGCATAGTCCTAGAGGAGAGCACCATATCTTTGATGGAGTAGATTGGAATCAAATGTTGTTTGTGGAACCTCATCAAGAGTGCTCAAAAACTCTACGTATGCCACAACATGCACCCCACAATACCTAAAAAATGTTAATTAAAACAATTAAAAACAATTCATATAATTAGTGTTTTATAATAATTCAAGCATGATGATTGAATACATACATGCTCCCAACTTTTTATTGAAACAGATTTGATATGAAAACAACTTCAAAGGGATCTGTATGTGACTTGTCAGTGTATGCTGAGTAAGTAGACCAATCTATGCCTTGACTATCTCTGTAAAAGCCACTGATTGATAGATACAGAGGTACAAACTTAGCAAGCTTATCGATCTATCTCAGAAGCTACATAGGCATCATGACCTGCAGATCTATATGAGTCATACACTTTGATACATCTCTCCTTGAATGAGACAACAACCAATATCCAGTGTAGTTTATCCTTCAAGTTGACTGGTATCAAAACATTGTCAACAGTATGCCAAGGTACATTAGCTAGCAATCTATAGCCCCTTATGTACTCACATACCACATCCTCTTCTTTGGCTACATTTGCATTACTATCTGTATCAGCATACCTGTCAAAGATTTCTGCGATTCTTGTCTTGAATATACAATCAACAGTCGTATACTTGAAGTTGGTTGTTTGGTTGTACTTTCCCTTCTTTCTCGGATAGTAGAATATAACGTCAATATGCTATATACAAATTTAATTACATAGTGTTAGTACAATGAATGAAATTACGGAAAAGAAATTGAATATAATAAGTGAATATTGTCTTATCATGTGCTGAAAACAAATGGAATTTACATAATTCCATACATTAAAGGTTGAAAAATAATGGAATACAACTTGGCATCACCTATTAAGATACATAATGATTAATACATATATGTATTTGATGCATAATACAGTTCAATACTTGAAATATTCAGAAAGTAATCAAGAGACCTATTCAATACAAATCAGAAACTAATCTTGAACTATTTTAATACAAAATACATACTATACAAACAATTCAATCTGTTTCTGAAACTGAGATAGATTCAGTTAAATACATCTATTATTTAAAACTACTGAGTATTGTTAAAATACATCTGAATACATTTAAATACATTTGTTATTCAAGACTAATGAGGCCATTAAATACATCATACAGATTCAGTTAAATACATCTGTTATTTAAAATTACTGAGTACTGTTAAAATACATCTGAATACAGCTAAATGCATTTGTTATTCAAGACTAATGAGGCCATTAAATACATCATACAGATTCAGTTAAGTACATCTATTATTTAAAACTACCGAGTACTGTTAAAATACATATGAATACATTTAAATACATCAGATGTAAAAGATACATTTGAGTACAATTGAATACATAAAAATCATGTAAGATAAATTTGTGTGAGAGCTCAATTTGTGAATTATACAATTAGACAAACGAATCCTAAAGAAATGAATTATAGTGGAGTTGGAAGGGGTAAAACTTACATTGTCATCCCATAGTTTACCGTCAAACAATAGAAGGTAAAACTAATTTTTTGAATTGACTTGATCAATTCCAAAATCCAATGGTATATGAAGTGTTAACTTGTCCTTCTTGTAATGGTCTTCCAAATTACTTCTACAAGCATGATATAAAAAAAATTATATCCATTTTTAAAAATATAAATTCATAATAGACATACCGAAGAAAAAACTCACTTCTGTTCATATCTAGCGAGAAGACCATCTCGAACCCATTTCTTATATTCCTGAATGATTAATGTAGGATGTGACCCCGTTATTGAATCATCCTCAAAAGGATGTCTTTTTCAAATATGGGGGTCAACTTTACTGAGGTACCTGTTGTTCATTGAATTCATGAATAGAGACTTTTAAATATAAATACCATGGGGAAATAGATCATAAGTTTATAAAACACTAACCTGCGGAGTCGAAGTTAGACTCGTAAGGCGAAGAATACCATCTACTTGGTCGCCGATTCCTATGAGATGGTAATGGGGTTGATTCAACATTTTTTGCACTATTGTGTATCACAATTCTAGTTTCTGGAATTTGACTTGGAAGAAACTTGTCGTCCAACTCAAATTGCGATACATAGTAATCTGTAAATACACCCTCTTGGCCTATAGGTGGTATGTTGCACGACACCTTCGATATAGTATTCCCTCCACTCTTGACTCCACGCAAAGAGCATTAACAACTGTATTCTGTTAGACGTATACATCAATGTTAGTGCATTATAAATGACTTATATACATAAAGTAATTGACTGTATGTGATGACCCGGCCAGTCGTCTCATGAATTACCGCTCTGTTTCCCCAATTTATGCTTCTTTATACTTTTTTTATTCGTGTTATATGGTATCGGGTCGGCCGGATCGAGTTCGGAAAAGGATTTGGTAAGGTTTGAGACACTTAGTCTCTTTAGAGTGAGTTTGAGTTGGAAAAGTCGACCAGATGTTTCCTTGTGTGTCAGAGGGCTCGTATGTGAGTTCCGATGGTTCGGTTAACTTTGGGAGGTGATTTGGGACTTAGGAGTGTGATCAGAATGAGTTTTGGATGTTCGGAGTAGATTTAGGCTTGAATTGGCGAAATCAGATTTTTGGCGATTTCCAGTTGATAGGTGAGATTTTGATATAGTTCCATTGTGTAATTTAGGACGTGTGTGCAAAATTTTAGGTCATTCGGACGTGGTTTGGTCGGGTTTTTGATCAAAGAATTTAGAAGTTTTTGGAAACTTAGGCTTGAATCCGATGTGTTTTGGTCGATTTGATGTTGTTTGAGGTATTTTGAAGATTCGTACAAGTTTGAATAAGGTTTTGGGATATGTTGGTGCCTTTGGTTGAGGTCCCGGGGACCTCAGGTGAGTTTCGGAGGGTTGAACGGATCATTTTACGTTGAAGAAAATTGCAAATTTTGGTTTCAGCTGTTGCATGTATTTTACTCTTCGCCTTCGCGAGTGGACCCTCACATTCGCGAAGAGTCAGTTGAGGAAGGTGTAATTTAATCCTTCGCATTCGCGAGGAAGACTACGCATTCGCAAAGGGCTAATAGTTTGTGCATCGCGTTCGCAGGGGAGGTGTCCTGTTCGCATAGAGCAAAAAGGGCAGTTGATCTTCTGTGGATTTTATTCATTGCGTTCGGGAGAGGCGGAACACGATCACGAAGGTTGGTCTGAGCAAAGCATCACGTTCGCGATAGGGATGTCGTGATCACGAAAGTGAAAAATTGGTCAAAGTTAAATTGTGCTTCACGAACACAAGGCTTTGACCGCGTTCGCGAAGAAGGATTTCAGGCCTGGGCAGAAGATTTAAAAAGTCGTATTGTCTGCGAATGTGGGATTTATTTCTTCCATTGCTGGTCGTTTTTGGAGCTATTTGAAGGAGATTGAAGAGGGGTTTGAAGGGGAATCACTTGGAGATAAGAATTTTGGACTTAAAACTTGATTCTATTGTGAAATCTACCTAATAAATCATAGAATCTTAGCCTAAAATTGAGGAATTAGGGCTTGAGATTAAGAGACTTTAGAATGAGAATTTGAGGGGTCATTTGGACTCCGATTTCAGTGTTCTTGGTATGTATGGACTCGTGGGAGGATAAGAATTCTGTTGATGTGATTTTTATCGAGTTTCGAGACGTGGTCCCGGGGGTCGAGTTTGGCAAATTTCGGGATTTTTGGTATAATTTGATTATTTTCGTTTGGGCTTCATTCCCTTAACATATTTTGACGCTGTGATTCTGATTTTGGATAGATTTGACGTGAGTGGAGGCCGATTCGAGGGGCAAAGGCATCACAGAGTAGTATTTTCATTGGTTTGAGGTAAGTAACCATTGTATATCTGGAACTGAGGGTATAAACCCCGGTATTTGACTTGTTTTGATAAATACGGTGACACACATGCTAGGTGACGAGCGTGTGGGCGTGCACCGGTAGGGATTGTGACTTGGT